TTGGTAGAAAGCAGAAAAGTTCTGGATAGAATTCAGTTTATATAGATAGTGGGTTTTATTTTCTCTTAAGATATCACAAATGTGGCCTTTTGACAGGAGATTCATCCCAAATTAGTCAAAATGTCACAGATTCTGAACTCTGGACTATTAGCGTACATGGATACAATCCCAATAAGGTAAAAACCAAGAAGCTGCCTCGTCTTGTCAGTAGGGTTCCTCAATTACGTCTGAACTTGTAGGTGGGTGACAATGGTAAATGGATGTAGACTATAGTAAGCTCTGGATTTTGGAAACACTACTTTTGGTTAGTAAATACTGTTATTTTGAAAATGTGTCTCTAAATTTAATCTGCTACAGAGATACTTCCATGTATTCTGAAGTCTCTGCTACCTTGCATATATGGAAAGTAGGAAAAACTCAGAAAAAGCATAATCCAACTTTGCAAGGACATAAGGATCTACTCTAGTTCCAATGAATGCAGGTCAGGAAGCAGAGATTTAAAAAAATGAGAATACAGGAGTGAGGTACTTAACGTAGTCTGAGATGGCATCAGAGAAAAGTTCTCGGGGAAGAAAAACACCCAAGACAGTGCAGGTTAGCCAGAGAAGGGAAAAAGAGGATCCTATGCATAAGAACATCGTAAGCAAAAATACGTCAGAGTGAGAAAGAGTATTTATGGTATGTTCTGACAAATATAAGAACAATACTGCTGGACAGTAAAATGTTCAGAGTTATGACAAGAAAGACAAGGTCCAAATCAAGGAGGACCATATATGCCTTATCAAAGAGCTCTCACTGATCCTGTTGGTACCAGTGATATAAAAAAGGAGTTCACACTGGGGAGTAGCATAGTCTGATTCGGATTTCAGGTGGATCAAATCACAAGGCAACTCTGTAGATAAACAATTAAAGAGCTATGAAGTTATAGAGAAGAAAAGCAGAAAGGTGATGTAATAAAGTACGAGGTAAATGGGATCTGAATTAGAGCAGAAGTTGCAGGCACACAGTGAAAAATCATGTGTGTCAAATATTTAAGAGGCAAAAGGAGCAAAACTTAGTAATAATTAAAGGTAGGAGGCAAAATCAGGACCTGGCAACACTGGAGGAGGAGACTCAGGAAAGGAACTGACTTCAAGGAGATGGTGATGAATTGTTTGGAGTCCCTTTAATTTCAGGTACTTTGAGACATCTAGGTGGAGATACTCAGTAAGTCGTTGGTCTAAAACTTAGAAAAATATAACTAGGGATTCAAATTTGTGATCCATCAGCACTTAGGTAATAACTAAAATAATAGGAGTTTGGATAATATCATGCAGGGAGAGAGTGTACAATTAGCATAGTGGTAGCCCAAGATAGAACCAACAAGAACACTAACATTTAAGGACCAAGTTTAAAAAAAAAAAAAATGAAGAAAGGAAAGAAGAGAGGGAGGGAGGAAGAAGGAAAAAAAAGAAAAGAAAAATGTGTAAGAAAAAAAAGAAAAAACAGTGGTCAGAGGAATTTGGGGAAAATATTAAGAGTTTCATGGAAGCCAAAAGAGAATTTCAATAAAGAAATTATTCAATAAAGAAATTATTCAATAAAGAAATGCAAAACGTAGACCCAAGAGATGATTACTAAAAAATGGTCATTTGGCAGTCTAGGAGTCATTGATGATCTTAGCAAGATCTTATCACTTAAGATGTAAAGCAAACTGCTATAGAACGGGAGGGGGCGGGGGGAGTGTCTGAGAAATACAGGGGTGGAGATAGAAGACAACACTACTCCTTCAAGAAGTGTACGTGTAGAGCAGAAAGAGATTGGAAAATACTTCCTCAGAAATGCTGGCTCAAAGGAGAGTTAGCAAAAGGAGGTTGTTTCTAGTTCTAACACTGTTAAAAATAGAGTTCTACCAGTAATTCCAAGAGAAAAAGAGACTGATTCCCAGACAAAAGGTTATCATTACATGGTGCCTACTAAAAGTTGAGAATTCCATATACTAGCAAGAACAGCAAAATTAAATCATGCCATAGGATCTCTAATAAGAAAATACCAATGATAATACTCAAGGGATGAGGTCCTGGTTTTGCCACTAAGTTGTGTGACCATGGGCAAATTACTTAGTCTTTTGTATCTCAATTTCCTCACCTATAAAGTGAGAATAATAATAATACTTAAAAGTTTTGTGAAAATTAAATAGGATGCTGTATACGAAATGCCAACACAATGCTGGCTTAGAGTAGGACCTCAAATTTGTCTTTATTGAAGGTAACAGACAAAAATTATACACACCACACTCACACACACATATGGCTTAAAGAATTTCACTTTTTAAAAGACACACTTAGTTGTCCATTTATGACAAATCCTCAATGCATCCTGATTTACAGATTCATAATTAGTTTCAATAAATAGGTCACTATTAGTCCACATAGGGGGGAAAAACACTGTACACACATTACCCTATGTATATACCTTAAAAATCAGTGAAAGGAAAACCAAATACTCAATTGTAATTTCAAGTTCAAAGGAATCTTTCTCTTCTATAGCACTGAGGTACAATTCTCATTAATTTCTGTAACAAAGTATACACTACAGAGACTTGTTCATCTTTGTGTCAAAAATGAATTAAACATAACTCTGAATAGTAATAAGTGCTGTAATGTTGTCTCCCTTTTTAATTTACAAGTGCAGTAGTCTTTAATGATATAGTATGCAACTCTTCCAGCCAATCCAAAGAGACAAAAAGATTCAATTATTCTCCAGATCTATAAGCAGTTACATATTTCCCTTATATATCAGAATTTCATTACTGCTGAAACAGATAAAAAGGCAGCATACAGCAAAAAGATCTTATGATCAATAATCAACGAGTCCAAGGATCTGGGAGAAATGCATAAAAATACATTACATTTTATAATATATAGCCTCATTACTGCTAAGAAGAATGCTGTCACCTTTTAAACAAAACACCTTTTTAATAAAACAAGGAGTAAAAATATCAACAAAGCTCTATATCAAAGTAATGAAAGTACAAATATATAATTAAAAAGTCATTAAGTGATTTGAATTGACGTGATAATGTAAAAAAAAAAACAAGTATGCAGTTATAGTAAGTAGTAGCAGTAGTTATAGTAAATGTGCATGGTGGGCAAATTTGCATTCAGAATTTCACATAAATCTTTAAATCAGTAGTATAGCTCCTGGCTAAAGTCCTTAAGACTTTATTTTCACAAATAAGTCTCTTTAGCAAAAAACATTATTTCTTGGATGAATTAACCCAACTGCAAATGAGTATACAGTTAAATACCCTCACTGCACATCCTCACTGTGTTTTTTTTTATTCTGCTCTATATACTTCAAGTACAATAGTCACTAGGCTGCCAAAAGCACCAAGAAGCACAGAAATGAGAAAACAGAACTGATATTTTTGTCTTTGAAAATATTTGACAGGTATTAGGCAATTAAAGCTGTTTGGCCTTTAACATTAAAATGTTTTTTAAAAATCTAATTGGTAACATCACAGTAACAAAGGTATGACTCCTTTCCTCTGCTTAGTCAATTCTCACTGTATAAAACTGAAACAAAAAACCTTTTCTCCCCTGAAGTACTATACAATAACTGGAAACCACAATATTGGTACTGAAACAGTGTGTGGGGGGGGGAGGGGGGCGGTGGGAAGTACCCCATTAAAGATTAGACAGCATTCTCAAATAAAATCCATCCTTCATAATTGTACTACATCCTATACCTACTTGGAATGTGTTCCAGGTACTGTAAATGGTACTTCTTAGTTACTTAAAAAGTCCATAAATTGAAGAAAAAAAAATTTTTTTTACCCACTCAGGTTAAGCAAAAATGTATTATGCTGTGTGCTAAATGAGGGCTAAAATGACATTATGTGTTGAAGTGATGGGTAGAGTGGCAAAGTAAAAATGATGTCTTTGTTATCCTCACCAAAATAATGTTGTTGGCACTGGAACAGTCAATACAAAGGAAAGAAGGAGTTACCCCAGGTCTGGACTCAGCACCCTGTTTGTACCAATCACTGTCTAGCTACCACTGCTCCTTTTGTGGCAGAGTTAGACCCTTACAAAGAAGTGATTCTTTAGTTGAACCAGCAGCAACCTAGACTCAACATGTAATAGGAAACACGATTTTTAAATAGCTTGAATGAATTTGATTCCTGGTGGCAGTCAATGAAAATATCAAGAGTAACTAATCAGCGTTATATAAATATACATTACAGTAATTGCTAATAAACACCATTTTGTATATTTCTATACATTCACTTTTTTCCTCTTAAGATGACGTGGAGCTAAATGTCCAAAACAATGCGAGTATCTTAAAATGGAAACGTCTATGCAGATAATACATATCACATCTCTTACTTTAGACAGTAAAAGACAAGCAAAGGGAAGGAAAAATACATTATGAAAACTAAACCTAAGTAAGGCACATTCCTTAGGTTCCTTTTATATTTTTACTGGAGCCAGTAAAGCATTTGTTTCACATCTCTTTGATGGGATATTCTTAGGGCCAAACGACCCAGACCCAGGTTCATTTTGGAACTGGAGCCTGTTACACCATCCTCCAGCTCAGTACAGGTTTCCTGTTCATACGTCTGTAAATAGCACAGCTACAAACTGAAGAAGCAACAAACCAACAGATCAAACCAACACGCAACTGACCAAATCACAGTCTAACAGTTAAGGCCAGCTGAATCCTGTCTCCTTAAAATGCTCAACACCTCGCTAAAGGAAAAATCGGGCGGGGGTGGGGGTGGTGAAGGTGGTGTGTGTCGTGTTATCAGAGAGAAGCCAGACTGCCCAGGTGAGGTTGAGGTGTGGCGAGTCAGAAGAGATGAGGAAGCAGAGAAGTGACGCACGAGGGCGGTCACCTGTGGGGCCCACTTGATCCAGCCCCGCCCCTAGGGACAGCAGAAAGAATCGTGGCCGGAAGACCCCAAAACACGCCAGGGAAACGCCGAGCTGGGCCCCTTCGGCCCGGCCTGAACTCACCATCCACGGTTTTCTTCTTGAAGAGAGACGCCATGGTCGGAGACCGCGCCCAGGCTGCCCGGCTCGGCCCGGTCCGACCCGCGGCTGGGAAAAGGCAGAACGGAAAGGACAGGCCCTTGGAGGGTTTGGGGTGGTGGAGCGATGGGCAAGAGAAGAGGGAGGGGTCACCAGGCAGGACCCGCAGAGGGCGGGTAGCTGCGAAGCCTACCGCAGCCGAGTCACCCCCGAGCTCAGGTGACCGAGAACTAAGACACTTTTTGGAGAAGTCACTTCTAGGCGGCGCCTGCGCATTAGGCGCGCGCGCTTGCGCACTGGGGCGCCTGAAGCTGCTGCCTCTGCCCTCACCTCAGCTGCTGCCCGCTTTTCCCGCCGGCGGGGTCGCCGCGTGGCGTGTCAGGAGGGGGCTTGCGGTGGTATCAGAGCGCGGGAGACCGTGAGCGGTGCCGGGTAGCTTCTGTGCCTGGGTTCCCTGCCGAATATAGAGAGAGATGAGCCTTAATTAGCCCTTTCCTCCCTGCTTCGGGGGAAGCTGGAAGTGGGGCTCCCAGCGTTTTAGGACAAGTGTGGGTCGTCCCGGAACCAGTTGGGTTATGACCATCCCGTTGCTGTCAGTATCAGTACTCTCATAAGTGCAGGGGCTGGTTGCACTGCTGTGGTCCGTGCCCCAGCGGTGTTTGTCCCCGAAGTTCACGTTCTTTCCCGCCCTGAGGGTCCGGCGATCTCCGTGGCGCTGGCCGGCGCAGCCCCCCATGGGTCTAGAGGCGTTCACCTGCAGTCCTGGGCCCATGGATCTGACCACCCGGCGTGTCTCAGGGTACACTGTTCCTAAGCATGAGGATGACGGGGCAGGAAGGGAATAAGGAGCAACTTTTTTAATGCAACACTTGGTATTTACAATTCTTGGCTGGAAACATTAAAAAAAAATAAATCCACACGTTTGCCTACCGGTTTAAACGTCTCCAATTCTATTTCTTAAAATCTCGATTTCTTGCCATTGCGTGAAAAAAAATCATGGCTGTACTGTGAACCTATTAGAATGCTATATAGCTGCATATTAGTGCTTAATGTGGGGGGGAGGAGCCCCTAAAGGAAAAGCATAATAAATTATTCAAAGAATACTTATGTGTATAAGCATAAATATGGAAAATACAATCTTAGGATCAAGACCTTAAATTCATTGTTTTACTTAAGCATGTGTGTGTGTGTGTGTGTGTGTGTGTGTGTGTGTGTGTGCGCGCGCGCGCTCGCATATTTCAACTTAATATTTTACTGTTTAGAATATTAATTTTGCTGTGAACTTTTTTCCTTCCAATCTGTTAGTGCTTTAAGCAACACTGCCTTCCATAGGATAAAAATGATAGTAGCCTTTGTTTCATGTCAATTCTGTCAGGGAAAACACTTCAGGAATAGTGTCAATACTATTAGTCATCTCTGGATTTATGAATCATGTCTCAAGGATTTTTAAGTGTTTGTGGGAGTCAGACTTCACTTCCCCATTTTTTTCTCTCTCATATCAAAATCCTCAGTGCCACTGAGAATCCTGCTGTTGTTGCTAAAATTTAGCTAAGAGACTGCTCAAGAAACTTTCTCAGAATGGCATGGTAATATGCAAACTGTAATTGTTTTACTCCTTCAAATTATTCTAGATTTTATAGGAAAATGGAGAAGTAAGGAAACGGGGAAAAAATGTAAACAAGAACACTTAGTCCCTGCGCCCAAAGCCTGGCCTTTCTGGTGTAAACTCTGTGGCAAAAGGCAGTTTACTCTGGCTGCCTGTTGTAATGAATGGCATTGAGCTGTGCTTGAATGCATGAGGCAATAAGCTGTTATGTGTGTAGTAATCGTACTCCTCCCTGCTGCAGTCACCCTTGTTTTATTACTCCTATACAATCCCCCCCACTGACCCAATTGTAACAGTTGGGAAAATGCCAAAATACTTAGCAGCAACCATATGGAAGATCCTCCAAAAGTGCACAGCAGGAGCTAAAGACAGGGCTTGTTCATTACAATAAAGACAAAATAAAAATATGTAGTATTTAAACTCACCACTCTAATAGCTTGATTCTCCCATAGTTTGAGCAGGCAGATATTTAGCTGATATACACCAGACTGGCTGGCATCCATTCTGATTAGTTGGTGACCAAACTGTACCAGTATGTTTTGTGTTTGCTCCTTATTTAAAGGGAATGTACACTTAAATATAGCTGAGAAGCTGAGATACCAAGGAGCTAAAAAACTAGAATACATAGGTATTTTCCATTTATTTAAAACCACTATCATGAAAAAACACACCATTGTCATAAACAAACTCACTGAATCAATAAGACACATATATAAGCATAGTGGATAGAGGAAACATTTTAATTTGATTCTTTTGAAATCTCATTAAGAAATGAACTAATACCCTATGGTCATATCATTATGACCCAATGCTCTTCTTCCAAATTGCCCAGATAGCAAAGAATATTTATTACAAACCTAATGCCACATACCATGCTTGAAGTGAAGAAACAAATACAGTTCCTCCCCACTTTTCTTTTCTTTTATCCACCTTCCTACCAGGTTTTTCATCTTTTTTCATTCAGTTGTTACAATTCTGACACTAATTCCAGTGTGTGTATTTTTCCCCCACACCAAGCAATTCTCAGACACCACCTAGGTGTTCTATAATTCAACTCAGTTCTGATACTATTTGGAGATAGTGATACTATTTGGAGATTCCACAGGTTAAAGGTTCAGTCTTGTGGATTGCCCCCACTTCAGATGGCAATCACAAGTCCAGGTTGTTACTTGTTCTCCTGACTGAGCAGCTATAAATTAGAGATTCCCATCCTCCCCACGCTCCTCCTTGGGTTTGATTAATTTGCTAGATAGGCTCATAGAACTCAGGAACACTAGATTGTTCACTAGATTGTTGGTTTATTGCAAAATATATTAAAGGATACAAATCAACAGCCAGAAGAAGATATAACCAAGGGCAAGGCTCTGAATGCAGGAGTTTCTGTTCCCTTTGGAGTTTGAAACCCAGGGCACAGCGGCACATAGAGGCATTCTGATACACCAGCCCAGAAGCTCCCTCAACCTTGTCCTTTTGGGTTTTCACAGATGCTTCATTACATTGCATGATTAATTAAATCACCAGCCAGTGGTGACTGAACTCCAGCTCCAACCCCTCTCTACTCCCCCGAGGTTGCAGGGATGGGACTGAAAGTTCCAACACCCAAACTACAATATTGGTTTCCCTAGTGACCATCCCCCCACCCTTAAGTGCTTTCCAAAAGTCACCTCATTAACATAAAGTCAGGTGGGTTTGAAAAGGCTTTGTCATGAATATCAAGATACCTTATCTCACTCTTATCCCTTAGAAAAATCCAAGGGTTTTAGGAGCTCTATGCCAAAAACAGGATGAAGATCAAATATATATATTTCTTATTATAAAACACACTATCACATTTGTTCATCATGGAGAAGTAGGCTTTGGCTCCTTGTAAGAAAAAGAGTGCTTAAAACCAGAGCTATTCCAAAATGGGTGCTGTGTGAGTTAGTAAATTCCTTGTCAAGGAAGTGTTCAAGGAGCAGGAGCATGTTGTAGACAGGATTCCTTTAAAGAATCAAAGTCTTGATTAGAAAGTTTCTAAGGTTTCTTTAAAATCTGGAATTTTATTTGAATAACATATAGCTCGGGCCAAAGTACCTTGGCATATGATGTTTCACACCCTGCAGATAATACTACCAAACTACCAAATCCTATTGGCTTCACCTTTAAAGTTATGCTAAAGCCAAAAAGACATAGTATTTCATCATTTTGAATCATCCCGATTCAGGTAACCTTTATCTCTCATCTGGATCATTACTGCCTATGTTATTTCCTTGCATCTATCCTTACATCACTCCATTTTTGTCACAGCATAGCAGACAGAGTGGTCCTGTTAAAATGTGGGTCAGATCATGCTGGCCTGTTTCTCAAAAAGAGATCAACATACTCCCAATACTTAGTCTGGAACACACATGCATGTGGGCACACACATGCACACACACATCTGTTCTACAGACTAAACTTCCGTTGTTTATTCATTAAGCATCCAAATTTTTACCATCCAGGTTGCTCTCCTATTTCCCTTCATTATGTGTCACTCAGGTGGAACATAACTGTTTAGAAGTGATCTTAGAATTATACCATCCATTCATTACCTCTGTTGTTCTGATACCATATTTCTGATAGCGCTCCCCTTGAGTGCATTAGCATTTTTGACTACCATTCTTTGAATCATATCAAACTTTTAGTTAAGTAAAGCTTTTGCACTTTTTTAAAAATATAAATTCCTACTTAGTCCTCCCCATCCTGTATTTGATTGATGGATAATTTTAACCTAAAAACCCAAAACGAAACTTTTCATGCGTCACTAAAGACATCCACTCATCTTTGTATTTATTCACTTATAAGCACTTTTGAGGCATTGTAGTTATGTCTGAATCCATTTATACGAAACCATCAAGATTTTATTTAACTTTCAGTTTTAAGATGATTTTGAAGATTTTTGTGATTTTTAATAAGACAGAAAGACATTTCTGCTAAAATCAAGGTACATTATACCTGTCTTATTTATATTCATGCTTTATAGTTACAGTAACCATAAAGGTAAAAGAGATGAGTTTGGCATAATTCATACCCGAGGATTAAAATACTCACTTCAATGATTAAAATACTCTAATCAATGATTTCTTTTCCAAATATTAACAAAACATAATTTAATAATCTGTTTAATATTGTTTTTTACAGTATTTCATAAAATAGTTTCCTCTTCTTTGAAAACCGGATATTTGCCATTACTGGCTTTTTGTATCTTAGGTTATAATTTGAATGGATGCCCTCTTCTACTCTGTTGGCTCTTGAGGTGTACAATGTCAAAGTTGAGGGTGCTGACTCTGGACACAAACTACCTGGGTCTGTAACCAACTGTGCCATTTTCCAGCTAATTAGACCTGGGGCAAATCACTGAACCTCTCCATGCCCATTTCATGCATATAGAATCAGGATAATATCACCTTAATTTGGCTGTGGAAAGAATTAAATGAGCTAATACATATAAAACACCCAGAATAGGCCTAAACACATAATAAGCAGTAACAAGGTATTGCTTACCTATATTATTGTTCCCAGCTAACCTTTCAATTTTCTCGAATAATATCTTTACTTTGAAATTCACTAGGGGCGCCTGGGTGGCGCAGTAGGTTGAGCGTCCGACTTCAGCCAGGTCACGATCTTGCGGGCCGTGAGTTCGAGCCCCGCGTCAGGCTCTGGGCTGATGGCTCGGAGCCTGGAGCCTGTTTCCGATTCTGTGTCTCCCTCTCTCTCTGCCCCTCCCCCGTTCATGCTCTGTCTCTCTCTGTCCCAAAAATAAATCAAAAAAAAAAAAAAAAAAAAACTTTGAAATTCACTCACTCCTAGATACCTTCACTCTATCAACCTTCCCACCTTTAGTCTATTTCTTTCTCCTTAATTTAAAAAAGAAATCTGTTTTTCTTGTCCTTGATTCCATTATTTTTATAATAGACTTGTTATAGGAATGTGTATCTAACATTGGTTTTTATTATCTAAGAAGATACATTGCAGGTTTCTTTGTGTTGTTGTTTTTCTCCTCGGCATCAGATCCTAAGCTCCTTGGGTTCAGAAAGGATGTGTTGTCATACTCTTCAATCATTTCCCTATTGAAAGATACATATATTTTTTAAACTTGACAATGCAATAACATCTTTATATTATTCTATATTTTAATATTTTTAATGCCAAAGTGACATGTGTATTTAGTATATTTGTACTGACTTGACATACTCAATTTCAAGCCCCCCTATATGTGAAGGGCACCCAACATTATATATCTCCATAAACAACATATATCTAAAGAGCCTGGTTCAAAACCAATAAATAATTGTATCTTAGGTCTAAGTGAGGATTTTGTGTGGATATCCCCATTTTTGTTTCCTGTTACACTTTGGTTTAAATTGGGGCATACTGCATGATATTTTGCCATTTCATTCTCTACCTTACACTTTATTTTGTTTTACATTCAATAATGCTACAGTACAAAGTATAACTACTTATAAACAAAATTATAAGTAACATGCCAACTTAGGTGGCATTTAAAAATTTAGAGACATAAGTGTAGGACAGAAATAATCATTGGCAAATTCTAAAAATCTCCTATTTCATATAAAAGGTAGATAACCAACAGAGAAATGAAATGGATTTTCAAAATCCTTTAGTTAGTAAGATATTGAGCCAGAATATATAAGGACAGACTCTTTTAGCGTGCTTAAACTTTATAGGCAATGCTGTAGGGTCTGCTTGTCAATTCCCTTGTGACGGTGACTAGACAGGTTGTATGAGCTCGGGGGGCAGGATAGCCAAGAGCGTGGACTGTCTAAGGTTGCTCCTTCCAACATTTACTCACAGAGGAATTTAAGGTTTTATCAGAGAAGTGTAAGCTACAGAAGGATCTCCTGTTGTACTTCCCTTCCTGGCTCCCATCTCTTTTCAGTGTTCAACATCCCCACAAGGATCCCCATCTATCAACTTCTCCAAATTCACAGCAGTTAGGCAGCTTCTTCTACTTGACTAAACAACAACACTCAAATGAGAGTATCTCAAAACATATGGATAAGCTTTGTACATTTATAGCCAAACAATGCGTGCAACAATTCCCTATGTTTCAGAGTGTTCGCTATGTTTTAACGTTAAAATGTAGAATTTTTTCTATAATTTCTGAACCCATGCTTTATAGTTCCAGAAATTCACCTCATTTCTCTCTTTGTCAAATCTTGCTTTTAAAAATATATGCCATAAAGAATGAGTCAGACTAGTCAGACATTTAGTCAATGAAAAAGCTAAATGAGTACCCTAAATGTGTGTGGCTGCACATCATTGGTTTTATAGTCTAAGAGAGTTCATGTGTTATTTGGAATATGTAACAACATGATCCTTTTTGAAAAATAAAATAAACTTTGCCCTGAATTCCTCACAATGTTAATAGTAGTTGCACATGAGTAAATCAAGACAGAATTTGTGCCCCCTGGCACAACAGAACATATGTATATATTTGCTCTTCAATCCAATAAGGACTCTAGAGTGCAGAACTACTACCAAGCAAAATAGAAATGAACTTCAATATAGGGGTAATGGGTTTGGTTCTTCAATAAAATAAACCTTAATAGCTATTTCACTTTCTATTTCAAATGGATAGAAATTAAGAGAGGTTCTGGATGTTAGAATTTGGTAAATTAGTAAGTATAAATAATTTACTAAAACAAAGGCATTGTGTTTTCTATACAAATAAGGTGGCCTTTTTGTAAGGCCTATTTCAAGCTACATTTAAGTGGCCTTCTCTTCATTGTTTTATTCAGTCTTGAAACAAACACTTCTAGAGCAGTTACTATATAAAATATGTAATGCTGGTGAGTAACTCTGAGGGATGTGAAAATAAAGTAGACATGAATTTTGTTCTAACGAAGTTATAAGTCCAATAAAGATATTAGAGGTACATCAAGAATTAGATGACAATGAACAATGTGTGGCTGAAAAACTTTGGGCCACTAATAAAATTATGTAATTAATTGAATTTATGACTGTAAATTTATGCTTGGTAATCTTTCGGAAAGCTGGAATATAATTAATATATTGAATTTAGAAAATTATCTTCATTGGGTCACCTGGGTGGCTCAGTCGGTTGAGCTTCCGACTTCAGCTCAGGTCATGATCTCACAGTTCGTGAGGTCGAGCCCCACATCCGGCTCTGTGCTGATGGCTCAGAGCCTGGAGCCTGCTTTGGATTCTGTGTCTCCCTCTCTCTCTGCCCCTCCCCAACTTGTGCTTTGTCTCTCTCTGTCTCTCAAAAATAAATAAATGTAAAAAAAAATTTTTTTAAGAAATTTATCTTCATTTAAAAATATGTTACACGGGGGCGCCTGGGTGGCGCAGTCGGTTAAGCGTCCGACTTCAGCCAGGTCACGATCTCGCGGTCCGTGAGTTCGAGCCCCGCGTCAGGCTCTGGGCTGATGGCTCAGAGCCTGGAGCCTGTTTCCGATTCTGTGTCTCCCTCTCTCTCTGCCCCTCCCCCGTTCATGCTCTGTCTCTCTCTGTCCCAAAAATAAATAAACGTTGAAAAAAAAAATTAAAAATTAAAAAAAAATATATATATATGTTACATATATATTAAAATACATATCTCCTTATACATCTGTTTCTCTTATGTTCAAGGAGGTAATTTGGAAGTTCAAAGATGCCTAAAAGCAGATGAAATATTAAAACAATTTTGAAAATAATTTTAGACATTTCTGATGCAAAGACATACAAGAATGTCCAAACTACCTAAGTCTGAACTTATTGATAGACACAACAGAAATGATACACAGTACCCGAATGTACATAATGTTCAGACTCCTAGAGAATACTATATTGTTTTTACATGGTTTAATAGGAGAATTGCTAATCCTCGCCTTCTCTACTTCTACTGTAATTGTGAGAATTACAATTTAGGTTACAGGCACTATTTCAAAACATGAAATAAAAATAAAAATTTTAATATTATGTTTATATTGTAGAATTTTAAAATAACCATTCATAAACAAAGACCTGGACATCGTTTGTTGAAATCTTCTTAATATGTATCTACACCCAGTTTGGAGATTACTCTCTACCTAAGACTATTATGAGGTTCTTATGATAACACAATCAATAATCATACTTAGTGATGGCCTACTCTATATACAGCATAAAGAGATATAAAGAAGTATTAAAATGGGGTCTCTGCCTAATTAAGAATAATCTATTTTGGATGATGACAACTAACCCCACCAGCAAAGTCACTAGTACTAAGAGGGTTAAGGCACATTGGTTTGTCACATCAGAAGAGACTTTATAGGTTACAACAGTTTTTATGATAATAGTTGTTGCCTCTGGAGATGCAGAGTCTCATGTACTATGCAGAGATTAGTGGGCACAAGCTATTGTCTTATAAGGGAGCCTGTTCAGAAGCTATTTTCTCCTCATCTCTCTACTGAATGCTTACCTTTGGTTTTACTATCAGAAGGATGCTTATGAGTTTGCCTTTGTTGCTGTCATGAATTATCACAAATTTAGTGGCTTAAAACAGCTCAAATGTATTGTTGTATAGTTATGGAGGCAAGAAGTCCGAAATGATCTCACTGGACTAAAATCAAAGTTTGATCAGGGCTGTGTTCCTTCTGGAAGCTCAAGGGGCAAATCTGCCTCCTGCCTTCCCAATTTTTAGAGGCTGCTTGAATTCTTTGGCTACTTGCCCCTTCCTCCATCTTCAAGGCCAGCAGGGTAGCATCTTTAAATCTGTCTCTGACTCTGACTCTTCTGCCCTTCTTCCACATTTAAGGTCACTTGTGATTACATTGGGCCCACCCAGATATTCCCAAATTGTCTCCTTATTTTATTTTATTTTATTTTATTTTATTTTATTTTATTTTTAATATTTTATTTATTTTTGAGACAGAGAGAGACAGAGCATGAGCAGGGGAGGGGCAGAGAGAGAGAGAGAGAGAGAGAGAGAGAGAGAGAGAGAGACAGAATCTGAAGCAGGCTCCAGGCTTTGAGCTGTCAGCACAGAGCCCGACGCGGGGCTCGAACTCACGAACCACGAGATCATGACCTGAGCTGAAGTTGGACGTTCAAGCGACTGAGCCACCCAGTTGCCCCAGTCTCCTTATTTTAAAGTCAGTTAATTAGCAAACTTAATTCCATCTTCAACTTTAATTCCCCCTCGCCATTTAACAACACATAGTCACAGGTTCTAGGCAGTAGGATGTGGACATCTTGAAGGGACAGCATTTTACTTACCAAAGGTGAGACTAATTTTTAAATCAAGTATGAATCATTGGTTCCACATAACGTTGTTGGGCTATTCTAGTTGGAGACTGTTTTTTCAATGGTACCTCCCTAACACCTCTAACATTATAAAGAGCACTGTTGACCTTACTGACATGAATGTGCTATGCTCTTCCTTGTTATTACTATGTCATGGTTAGATGTGTACAAAATGTTAATCTATCCAGCCTTCATCTGGCAGGAGTATTTTTGATGCTTTCTCATATCAGCCCTGGCAGATTCCTAGGAGAGGCAGTAAAAGATATCTGGACAAATTCTGACATGAAATTTCTTATTGAAACAGACCTGGTTTAATACTTTGTTCTAAATTCTGCCCTAGGGATATAGCACATTAGTATTTAATCAAAGTTTTATGTAATTGATATTTAATTTTGGACTCAAGCTGCATCCATAGTATTAACCACTGACATATTTAAATGTTTAAGTAACAGATTGCGTTTTATTTTATCTTTCATATATCTAGCACATATGGGTCCAATAAATATTGCAATATTGAGTCAACAATATCCAATCAAAAGTTAGCTTACAATGAAATACATTTTAAAAATGCATATTTAAACAAATCACTCAATTTTATTGTAAGAAAGATAAACTAGGTGGAACTAGATCAAAATGTTCAAGAAGTTTATTCTGTCATTCATTTCTTCACTTGTTCATTCACTTATGCTCAAATTTTATTTTTATTAAGTGTTTATTTTTGAGACAGTGAGGGAGTACACATGCACGTGTGGGGGAAAGACAGAGAGGGGGAGACAGAGGATCTGAAGCGGGATCTGCACTGACAGCAGAGAGCCCAATGCAGGGCTCAAACTCATGAACCACGAGAGATCATGACCTCAGCTGAAGTCAGATACCTAACTGACTGAGCCACCCAGGCATCCCTATGCTAAAATTTTAGAGGCAAAAGAGATCTTATAGGTCTATTATCAGCTCTTCACTTTGCAAATAAATATATCAAGACCCATAGCAAAGAATTGCTGAACTTCACTGTTGGCCAGTGAAAGGTCTACAGTGAGAAACTCAGATAACCCAACTCTGAAGCCAATACTTGACCTGTCTCATAGATTTGTCTTAATAAGGAAGCAAAGAATATACAAGAAGAGAGAAGATCTGGAAGGTAGTCTCTGAGAAATCTGCAGTAGTTGTTGATACATTTAAATATCTTAACTTATAAAGAAATGACAGGATGTTCCCACCACCTTCAGTGCCCAGGATATAATTCATGTTCATTGAAGCTGGTTGTGTAGATATGAGGAGCCAGCCCTTAAGGTAAACTTCTCATTCTCTTAAGTATTTTGAGCTAGGAATTTTTTTTTTTCTTTCAAAGAATAATCTCTGCTATTCAATATAGAGATTCAGTAGAGTACTCATTAATATTTTTATAGAGACACTCTAATTTTCATGAAGACAAAATTATTCTAGGTCAGAAGCATAAATGGGCAGAGATTAGATTATTCCCTAAAAGGAATGATGCAGAAATGGGATTGGGATTATGGAGATGGGATTTTTTGAAGCTCCATTCACAATCTGCTAAGGAGATTAGAAAGTGATGAAGACAATTCCCATGAACAAGTCAGGATATAAACTTGTACCCAGATCATCATTAATGTCTAAGCCATCAGAGACTGTTCTTAATTCTCACATTTTTCTCAAACCCAGCCTAAGGTTATCCTGGTTGAGGAGTTGGGGTAAGGATTGAGCGAAAGTACTAGTATTTCCATGGGACATATTCTGCATTGCAGAAGCAAAAAGCACAGAAATAAAAGGGGTAGACATTATAACTCAACATTACAAAGATTCAGTATATTCTGAGTATTTTTTACCCTGGAAAAATAAATTACAACAGGTTTTATGTCAAGAGAATGCCTAATGATAAACTAGACTTTTCCAAGATAGAATAAAAAATGTTGATCAGTTATATTAAAACAAATATAAATTATGGTTAATATTAGTCATTTAGTAATATCTGACATTCCAAGAGAGGGCAGTTTCTTTTTCTACATTTCGCTCATAATCCATTACATAGTAAAGCAGATCTAAGCACAGGATTGTGTTACCAAAGGAGGTTGGAGACTCTCTCCTTGGGGGTCATAAATATAGTTTTCCATCTGCTGGAGACTGTTTAGGTGAAACATGCCTGAAGTCAGGGGCTGGATCAGATGATCTCTGGGGGTCTCTTCTAGCCTTTTGAGTCTTTGAGAGAAATTTCTAATCAGCATGTTAATGAGTACTTTAAATTTGTATTCCGGTTTCCTTGAAGATAATTACCAGAAATGCTAAGTGGAGAACAGCATTTCTAAATGCCCATTTAAAAGAAGAAGACAGAAAGAAAGAAAGAAAAAACAAAACAAAACAAAACACAGTATTCTGCTTAAAAAGAAAAAAAAAAAGAGGTAATGTGACCCGCTTGATATCAAAGAAGGCAATTACCTGAGAAGGTAGTATGGTTCAGCGGTCTTGGTAACGTCTGAAAAAGTCCAAGGCTACTGGATCTTTTCCCCGTTCTTATGATGTCTTGCTGTGTGACCCAGGGCAAGTCACTTGACCTTAGTTTCCTCATCTGAAAACACAAGACCCCAGGAGTTGTGCTTGATTACCTGACTAATATCAAGCTACAGGAATTAAATGAAGAATGGAATTTCATTTTGGGCTTCGTCACCGCTGTGGCGATGACAGATGGGAATCATATGAATTAGGTTAGCCCCTGCGCTTCATTAACCGACAGAAAGAGAGTCTGAATGACATGGAATGGATGGTAAACTTAACTTTGAAAACCCTTTAAGGAACCTTAAGTTAGATATTATATAGGTGATACATACAGCAAAGATTTATTTCTATTTCTGCATTATGGAAAATCAACTGTAATATTATCCTATGTGTTTCGTTAATCTAGTTACTCCAAAACTGGCTCTGGGAAAAACATGTACTAGGTTAGCCCAATATCTCTTCTTTTTGTACTTAGTTTTTCAAGAGGAAAACAACTTTTTTTATTAATATTGACATACAGCTTCTTTAGAAGTAAAACAAAAGTGTAAGTCCAAATTATTTTTCTCCCTCTGTCCTTTCCTTCTCTACCTATAGTAAAATAAGTTTAATCTGAATTTTTAGATTTCTTGTCATAAAACATGATTTTCTCTGGGTCACTAAACTGGTAGTCTTCCAAAACTGGCACATAGGGTTAAAGACTTAGCCGTGTGCTATTTTCTTTCAGCTTCTTTTTTTTTTTTTTTCCTACTAGAGATCACTGCTTGTTTTAATAAACATACCCTAAAGAAGAAATCAAATAAGGTAAGAATTAAACAAACATATGTTTGACACACTCTTTAGAGAAGACAAATAACAAATTAAAAAAAAACAAAAAACAAACCTAAGATGATATAAAGATGAATTGATGCTATATTTGTGACCAAGTTTGGAAAACTGAAACATTTATACAAGATTAGATGCCTGAGTACTACTGATAGCCATGATCTACATTTCCATAAACTATATATTTCCATTCAAGTGAAAGAGCCAGAGCCATCCTGAAAAAGTAGTTGGCATTTTGTTAGAGACTGCAATTATATGCAGCCTTTTGTTCACAAACACTAAAGAGAGGGCAGGGATAGCACTGGAAATACTGCTCTACATAAAGGTTTAGGGAATCATAAATTCTGGTTCCGACTCTGCTATTCAGCTTTTAGATGGCATTATACCTTAGTCCCACCATCTGTACAGTATGAATAATCATATTTTGCTAACTCACAGGTGTGTTGTAAAATATAGACAATAAAAAGTAACTCTGAACATACAACCATCCTCAGAGCCCTCATAATAAGGAAAACAAATGGTTAAGAGATACAAAACAAATGGGTTGAACTTTACAATAAAATTCTGAGAATCACATTTAACTTGATATAAAAAAAATTATCTAACAATGTTTACCTACCAAAATTCTCATATAACTTAACTTTATTTGCAAAATATATATGATTTGGACTTTGGAATGAAATTCCAAATAAAGTGAAATTCCAAATCCAAATCATGTATACTTTGTGAATAAAATTTTATTCCAGGGGCGCCTGGGTGGCACAGTCGGTTAAGCGTCCGACTTCAGCCAGGTCACGATCTCGCGGTCCGTGAGTTCGAGCCCCGCGTCGGGCTCTGGGCTGATGGCTCAGAGCCTGGAGCCTGTTTCCGATTCTGTGTCTCCCTCTCTCTCTGCCCCTCCCCCGTTCATGCTCTGTCTCTCTCTGTCCCAAAAATAAATAAACGTTGAAAAAAAAATAAAAAAAAAAAAAATTTTTATTCCAAAGTCTTTAAGGGACAGGAAAGGAGAAAACACATCCTGAACCTACAGAGTTTTTTTTGTTTTGTTTTGTTTTTTTATCTCTCTGTTGAGGGATCAGCTAATGGTAGATTCTCACTATAGGTCTATGCAGTATTTAATATGAAATTATACCTTTAACTGAAAAACTGAACAGTATACTTTATCAGAAGAGCATGGACCAGGGCAACTATTAAGAGTAGAAGGAACACAGGGTGCCTGAGTGACTCAGTCTGTTAAGCATCTGACTTCAGCTCAGGTCACGATCTCATGGTTTGTGGGTTCAGGTTCAAGCCCCACATCGAGCTCTGTGGTGACAGCTCGGAGCCTGGAGCCTGCTTTGGATTCTGTGTCTCCCTCTCGCTCTGCCCCTCCCCTGCTCATGCTCTTTCTCTGTCTCTCAAAAATAAATAAACATCAAAAAAAATAAATAAATAAAACAAAATAAAAAAAGAAGAAGAAGAGTAGAAGGAACGCATTTTCGTTCCAGGTGTTGACATTTATTACAACACACAGGTAAAATGCCCAGACAGCCTTTGTTTCTCTCCCTTCTAAATTTTGAATTCCAAGGATACCAAATATACATGCCCAATTTGATCAGCTAACCCCAGATATTCAGAGTACACATATGTTCCCTAAGCTCCCACTTTTGCTTATTAATGGCCTATTCCCAAAATAGGAAAAATTTTTGTGAACCAGGAAATCACCCCAGGTGGTGACTTTTAAAAAGCAGAGGGGAAGTTAGGGGCGCCTGGGTGGCTTAAGTCAGTTAAGCGTCGGACGTCGGCTCAGGTCATGATCTCATGGGTTGTGAGTTTGAGCCCCGCGTCGGGCTCTGTGCTGACAGCTTGGAGCCTGGAGCCTGCTTCGGATTCTGTGTCTCCTTCTCTCTCCACCCCTCCCCAACTTGTGCTCTGTCTCTCTATGTCTCTCAAAACATAAATAAATGTTAAAAAAAGAAAAATTTTAAAAGCAGAGGGGAGGTGGGTGGGGGGATGAGTTAAATAGGTGAGGGGGGATTAAGGAGTGCACTTGTGATGAGCACCGAGTGTTGTATGGAAGTGTTGAATCATTGTACTGTACACCTGAAATGAATATCACACTGTATATTAACTAACTGGAATTTATTTTTTTTTTAATTTTAATGTGTATTTATTTTTGAGAGAGAGAGTGAGAGACAGAGTGTGAGTGGGGAATGGCAGACAGAGAAGGAGACAAAGAATCTGAGGCAGGCTCTAGGCTCTGAGCTGTCATCACAGAGCCCCACACAGGGCTCGAATCCACAAACTGGGAGATCATGACCTGAGCCAAAGTCGAACACTCAACCGACTGAGCCACCCAGGTGCCCCACTGACCGGAATTTAAATAAAAACTTTAGGGAAGCCTGGGTGTCTCAGTTGGTTAAGCGACCAATCCTTGGTTTTGGTTCAGGTCATGATCTCAGATTTCATGAGTTTAAGCCGTGAGTCAGGCTCTGTACCAGCAGCAGGGTTCCTGTTTGGGATTCTCTCTCTCCCTCTCTCTCTGCCCCTCCCCCACTTGCTCTGTCTCTGTCTCTCTCAAAATAAATAAATAAACTTAAAAATCCTTTAAAAAAAAGCATATTACTGAATGTTAGTAAGCCTTTGGTATATGGGAGAAAGATAACACTCTCACTTCCTTTTCTTCATGCTTGAGAGGACATTTGCTACCATCTGTAGCCCAACAATTTTTGCCTTAACCCCTTTACCCTCCATGGGAGAAAATCAGAGTTAAGACATGCAGAGATGAAAGTTGTGTTTACAAATCCCTTTCCTTATATGACTTTCTGGGAGGATTTTGCCCTCAACATACCTCTTTCTTTTACCAACCTCCCTTGGCTTCTTCCTTTTGTGAAATTTGAACTTCTCTTTTTTATCTTTATTTTATTTTTTAATTTGTGAGAGAGAGGGAGAGAGAGAGAGAGGTACAGGGAAAGAGAGAGTCTGTTTTTCTTTTTTAAGGAGGGTGTCACATCTCTCCCCTGTTTTATTATCATTTTTATTATTATTTATTTTGAGAGAGAGTGAAACAGAGCACATGAGTGGGGGAGGCACAGAGAGAGGGAGAGAGAGAGAATCCCAAGCAGGCTCCTCACTGTCAGCACAGAGCCTGAGGTGGGGCTCGATTTCATGAACTGTGAGATTATGACCTCAGCTGAAGAGCTGGACACTTAACTGACTAAGCCACTCAGGTGTCCCTGAGAAGGAGAGAATCTTAAGCAGGCTTGACGTTCAGCGTGGAGCAACCTGGGGCTTGATCCCACAACACTGGGATCCTGACCTGAGCTGAAATCAAGAGTCAGACACACAACCAACTGAGCCATCCAGGTGCCCTGAAATTTGAGCTTCTTAAAAGAAAAATGAGATAAGTAACACAATTAAATATGTTGAAAAACCCTGCTTTAAGTGTTAGGAAAGTAGGAAGAAAAGATAATGTCAAGTATGGGTAGTCAAAATTGTGAAAATCATGAATAGTGAATGAAAAGCATGGGTCAGAGAAAAGGGCCATTTTGTTTTGTGATTCCCATCAGTGACTTTCCCACCTGCCATTTCATTAGTGTAGTGCAGAAGGTCACAGTACTTTGAGGTAAAGAGCAAGTGATGGTGAGAAAGAAAGCAAAGTCAGCAGGTATAAAATACACTTCAAAATTTTGAGAGTTCTCCAAGTAGGGTAAGAAGTGATGTCATCTATTGAGAAAGAAGTAAATGGATGGAATTGTGAGTGGAGAAAAAAAACAGAGAAGTTCTAGAAGGGTCACTGTGCTGAGTTCCCTTGGAATCAACAATATTTTGTTGTTTATAAGGAACAATTTTTTTCCCTAACATTTTAACAACTGATGGCAACTAAGCATCACTGCTGGCTCAGTCTTGATGTAACTGCTGTTTCCAGCACATATGGGAACTCCATCATGGCTATTCATATTGTCACTTAAATTGAGTTATGTGCATTGCTGAAAATGTCATCAAAAAGATTACTTACTTTGTGATTCAGTATTGAAACAATAAGTTATTTTGTACTCAGAAAGGCATGTACTCAGAGCAGTGGAGCATGAATTAGATATTAATGAAGCAAATATTCATGGGGGGGGGGGGAAGATGAACACAACTCTATAAATTTCTTGTAAAGAACAACCAAAAGCTCTAATGAGATCCAAGAATGTAAGACACATATATT